CTCGTCAGAAAATCCTGAAGGATGGAAATCATTCAAGTAGTGAAGATGTGTGTATGACTTTGGTACTAGAGGATGTATCTAACATCTATTTATAATCATTTATATTGTATTTTTGCATGGGAACTCATTTTATAAAGTCTATCAATTTTAAAGGTACATTATTAMTATTTTTGATATGTTTTTCTATCGAGACAAATAAATGAGATTAATATTCATTGACAATAGAATTCTTGCACTATGGTAGAACACAGCTGAAACATATGTACGTAATAACCAAAAGTTTTATCATATAACTTGTTGTTTGCAAAAAGTAGGTGAACCCTTAAGCTGAGTTTCACGCAAGAGTGAAGTACCTCAAAGTTATAACTTCGYTGAAGACATTGATAAAGTTTTAAATTAGTTTGTAGTATTGATAAAATGGTCACTAGACATATCACTATCTGAAGCAGCGATAACAAGGTATTGTTTCTTTTGTATTCAATTCCATAATTGTGTACAGTGCAAAGACTGTTCCAGTTGATTGTAGTCACTAGACATAAGCACAAACAGAAGCATAGCAATAAAAATGAGCATCAACATAAGAGAAAAAACTATGAAAACATATTTGAATTGAGCATGCATTAACATTTAATTTAACTTTTATAATCGCTTAYGATTATGCTATGCTTATGTCTAGTGAAAACCAGCCACTACTTAGATAAATATGTAAGATGTAGCTACTACTTAGATAAAGACCTTTTAGTTATAAGTATTGACTATAAAAATCTAGAGGAAAGGCACACAATTAATGAATTCATCAAAGACTAAATTACAAATTTCTTGTAATTTTGATAGGTTAATAATCTTTATATTTCATTGTATTTATTCCTTTATTTAACATGTAAAATATCTACAAAAAATAATAATGATATCAAAGTATATCAGAGTAGACACAAGCTTATAACTTAAAGACGTAAGAAAAGCAGTACTTTTAAGTACAGTGTATTTCGTTTTGTCACAACATGTTTAAATTACAAGTAAGCTTATTGTTCTGAATAACAATAAGGAATTAGACCTTTTTTTGTCTTGTTTCTATTCAAGTAGAAAATTTTCAACATCAAGACATAGCAATTTGCAGCATCTATAGCCACAATGATGGCTTTTATATGACAACAATAAAGAAACTTTGAGCAAAATTGTGGAAGATAGAACGAGTCGAATGTTCATCACTTTACGTTAAAACTCACTGTCCACTCGCTCGACAAATAACTACGAAWTAACGATAATAAATTGATAAATACCTTACCTGTGACTTTTACTGGAAATTCAAGCTTGTATTCTCACRGTTTACATCGAAAAAACGAGAAAATTAATCCATATTTCCGTACATCAAAGAAGGAAAACCCATTCACTGTCATCATCTCAACCAAGTGAACCGAACGCGACGCGACACTCGAAAAACCGCGCGAAAGTCCCAGTCCCGCTCGACTTTTTTAACAGGAATTCTCCCAATCCCTCTATTGACTTCCCATTTTTTAAATTTCATTTTTAATAAAAATAATAATAATTGAGCGTAGAGATATCAGAATACTTTATTGATCATTCAAAGTTATTTCATCGCTAACACGAATTGCTTTACTGAACTTTTATTCAAATCATAAACTGAAAATTGTGGGCTAAAAGCCRACGAAAATTGACTTGATAGGAGGACAAGCTTTCATTTCCGCTCGAACAGCTTTCACTTTAAACACCACACCTAGAATRCTTTTGATTCGGTCTGCTTTTACACCGAATTTTTTCAGCAGACAAATTAAATCTTTTTGATATTTTGTAAATGCCGGCTGTGTACAATTCTTCAGAAGAACATCGATCTGTGAGAAACTGAKGTTTAAAAAGTTAGAAATGTACAGCTTGGAGCGTCCTTTCTGTGCAAGCCTGTCAAACAAGCATACAAAATGTTAACATGGCACTTAAAAGCAAGCCTGGTTTCTTRGTATGCGAGGCATTAAGCCTTTCTAGTTCCCATCCACAAAAAGGAAATTTCGRAAATTAAACTTTAAAAAGTAGGCGACCGGCCTCTAATCGTCTGYATACTAAATAGTATAGCCGCTAATAATTACCCCAAAATATTATACTAGCTATAGATTCTGTATAGTTATTTAAACATTGTTTCCGGCACTTACCTACAAGCAGGAGTAGAAGTCGTGTTGTTCGGGTTGTTTGTAACCGTGCGGTGCTGTATGTTAAGATCCAACGGTTGGCGATGTTCAAAGTGAGCGAGGCAGTGATATTGTCCAAGGATGAGAAGAAAAAGAAACGTTGAGTAACCGCAAGGATTTCTAAGCTTCATCTTGATTTCTAGCATGATTTAAAAAAAAAAAGTTACTTAAAATCACTCTTCTAAACGAGGTCTAAACTGAAWAGTCAGTACAGGTACTAGAGCAACAAGTAACGCATGAAACTGAATCATTCAGACGTTATATAAGCCTACAGCGTATTTTCGAGCACTCAGTGCTTCTTTTGGTTGCATGGATCTCACCAGAAATTCCTCTGCACTTTCACAAAAACCGAGAAATCGTAATTATTTTACCTTTATAAATGATCCTGTACTCTTTGCTGTTTTATAGTTAGATGTATTCTCAGCTGTGGATTCAAAGTCTGTCCTCTGATAAGCTGAATTCAACGACTGATATATTCACTCTACAAAGCTGAAACGCTGTCAGCTTGCCCGCGCGTTATTGTCAAGACGGTCTGAATGTTCGTTTGTTTYAGCAATGACCGTTGGAATTATGTATAATTTATGTAACGGCTTTTTCTCYATAATATTAGAAGATAGGGCGCGTTATAAGATCATTTCTTATTTATATTCTGAGAAACCCTAGTTATCGGGTACTAATAAAACTACCTCGTTCCTCTACATTAAACATTTTTCATTCATTCGTACAAATAAACTGTCAAATTTTCATAAGCTTGTGATGTGTCAAACGGACGAGAATCAGCATTTGTCTAGGAACATGTATTTTCACTTTTTTTCAAAACAATAGAGGAAAGCTAAAGCCATGACCATTAGAAGCATTTCACTAAAAAGCGCGCGCATCCGTTACTGTTGTAACTGACTCTGTWTAAACGTTGTGCAACTTTGAATCAATGAATCTTTATTAATTGCCAAAATGTTTCAAATACATATATAAGGATCATGGCTTGCTGTAGGCTTAGCAAGTATCCATGTGAGATTGTACAGTGCTCTCTTTGAATACAGGACCGAGAAGTTTAGCTATCCTGAGAGCTGTGAGGCCATATTTTTTCATAAGRCAAACAGCTTCCTTCTGTACGTCCGTCAGGGCTGGTTCACGGCAGCTTCTCAGTAAATAGTCGACTTGTTCTATAGTCAGGTGCAAGCTATTTGCAATGAASAGCTTGGAGTATCCCTTTTGTGCAAGGCTGAAAAATCAGAAAATATATTTCACAATTGCCGGTTCTTGGTACCTCAATTGGGCACATTAAACTTACCTACAAACCTTGGTTTTAATCTGTATACAGTTAATCAGAAAACCGCGCTCTTTTCCAAATTCAATCAGTTTCTGTTTCACGGTATCGAAATCACCAACGTTGCACTTCGTTTTCCCCTCAAAATGCTTCATTCTTTGATTATACAGATCACGAAGAGCAGTTATACCCCCCATACAATTCCAATGTTTATAAAGGTAGGAGTAGAAAGCGGTCTTGAAGATCTTACAAGAGGCGTACAGCCCAGAAATGTGAGCAGCACTAGATTTCACAATGGCACGGTCCTGTATACCCAGATCAGGTGCAGGTAAAATGGCTGCGCAAAATTCTTGTCCGAGAAACAAGAAGATTAGGATCGCCGCCCATCGGGTTGAAAAGCTGGATGTCATATYTTATCTAAATWTTGAAAAACAAAAAMMAAAARTCGCATAGCGTTGTATTTTATAGGTTTGAAGCCTTAACGGTGTGCATGATACAAAGAAAAGAAGCAACAATGATAAAAGCAATATACCTTAGAGAGCGATTCCTCRACTTGAACTGAACGTTTCATAAGAACATAATACAACTCAGAATTAACTATTGAGAAGTTTATATAAGGGTTTCGAGGAACTGCTGTTTGCTTTAAGAACAAATTAAATCGATGAGTGGYACTTGAACAGTTTGACAGATCGTACGCTGAAGAAGTGATTTTCATCATATCCTATCGTTGTGAAATAATAGCTAATTTTAATTCTTAGCTATGGATATCACAGTTTATTCCAAAAAATAATAATAAAAGACGGAATAAAACTTCAATCTGGCCCTTTCAAATTTCGGAGTTTATGCAGAGAGTTAGTACAAGCACCATTGCTCAAAGCTTCCGCAAGATATCATTGCATTGAAATGCACAACTGGGAGAGTCCGACGCGCGTTTGACTTTTATCTGAATGCATGTATTGCCGGCACGGAACTCTATATATACACTGAACTCCAATGAATGGATTATTGCCGTACATGTCAATGATAACCGTTTGTTTAACTGCACATTACACAGAACTAAGTAAACGCTAGCAGATTAAGKCCGGTTGTTTGCTTATAAAATTTCAAATTACGACTTTTTTTGTTTGCACATATCAAATCAATCTCTTAACATCAAAAAATCTGAAACATTGAGAAACTCTGTATGTACAGTATAATTGATATTGTCATCGACCCTTCAAACTGGCACACCCTTCTGCATAAAAAAGATGCAGGAAGAAGTGATTTGCAGTCTTTGAATTCAGCATACTGAGGAGACGTCTGATTGGCAAACGTTTTTATTGAGTATATTAATTTTACACACAAGAGTATACATTGCTTAAAATATATGTCATACTTAATAAGTGGAAAATCCGATGTAATACTGTTTAAAACTAGCACAACTGATAATACTTAGAGCATGATAAAGACATGCGTAGTAAGCACTTAAACTGAAGCAATGAAGTTCAGTCGCCCTAGATAACACTGTAAACACCTATAAATTCAATAACGGGATCAATAAAATGTAACCTTCTGTAGTTATATAATTAGTTGAATAGAACTGTTTCTATTTCAAAGATATCAACAGTTGATTATTAGCACTCGTTGTCCATATAGGCTTGGATGGTGCTTTCTTTAATGGCTGGCATGAGAAACTGTTTAATTTGAGCTGCGCTCCAGTTCATTCCCTTGAACTGACAGATCTGTGTCTGCTGCARTGGAGTCAGCTCTGGTTCAGGGCAGTCAGCAAGGAAGGTTTCGACYTGTTTGACTGTCAGATTCATGTCTGAGGCAATTTGGTTGTTTGTGTATCCACCGGCCTTTTGACTAAAAGATACGAGATAAAATAGAATTTGGTTACTATACCATTTACCAATATAACCATTTGCCAAAAAAAGATTGTTGGATAAAATGGTGGTGAATAGCAGAAAGGCCAAGGAGTCATGGTCTTTGCTAAAGATGAGAAATAATAACTGATTTCTACTGTMAAATAGTTTGTGGTAAACACTGGCTTCATTCATTTTTCCTAACATTGAAATTTTGCACGTGAAACAGTGAAACCGATGGAAAATTGCCTTTCTTTCTCGCGGGTATATTGACGTTTGAATTGTATGACATTCCGTGTTTTACATCAAGAGAATCCATAGAATTTAGTGATAATATAATCATGAAAAGCTAAATTGAGTGTTCCTTTCTAGTTGTATCTGCTGAAATACGACCACTGTCACAAAATCTAAACAGGGTGTAGTCCAATATTTCCCATCATGCTTGGCTGTATAAGATTGTGCTCCAATGTCTAAATGACCACAACGCTTCATGCAATAAGTTCTGATAAAATCTTACCGACAAGCTTCCTTCCTCTTGTCTTCACTGTTCAARACACAGTCATCGTTGTAGTTCTCGCTGGCTGCCATTGTCTCGATACTCTTTTTGATTCCGTCAAATGTAGTGTAGGCCGTGCCGTTTTTATCTAAAAGGCAATGATCGCCATGGCTGCCAAATTTGGTCAGCGAATCATCATACAGATTTCGTAACGAGTCAGTACCTAGAGGGAAGAAAATAAGGAGCATTATATAGAAATAGTGTTACTTTTAACATTGCTTTCAGCGTTTTTAGAATCTAGAAAGAAATCTAGATTGGCTGCACTGATGAGAAAGTATGAMAATATTCGAAATTTGCTATACAATTAGGGTACCATCATGGATATAGTTTTATCTAAAGTCCAAGTTTTCTAAGGCGATAGTTTTAAATAGTATTTTAGCTATTTGTTTCGTGTTTGTTTGTTTTTGTTTTTTGTACTAATGTAATGTAGTATTATATGTATTTATTGAAATACAAATCATTAACTAAAACATGAAAAGCGTTTTGGAATCTCACCTTTTTTGCATTCAGCAGACACGTGTTGCAGAAGCTTTCCTCTATTAACATAGCATTTCAAGAGTACCTTGATACCCCTYAGGGCTGTGTTAAGTCCCCTCGTTGAGTTATAAACTTGTGTAGTGTCAGAAGCAATAACATCGATGGTATTGAGGAAGTTCTTGATAGTCACTCCAGCATTTGAAACTGACGTTRGAACGGAGTGCGCGCCTTCAGCCAGCTTTTGTAAATCGCCCAATGATTTTTTGAAGTTGGCATCTGTCAGCTGTGTAGAGAGTACGTTCCATCCCTAAAAAATGTAGAACGAAGCTTAAGATCTCCTCGTAACTCAGCTACCTAGGGATAATCATTGGCTATATTATGCTTACCTGTGTTTGCAGATAAGTATACAAATCGTTGACATTTTTTTGGGTGTTCAACATTCCTGTTTCAGCTTCTTGCATTTTACCAAGTGCCTTAGCAACCTCTTTCTTCAAATTTGCACATTGCTTAAACTTAGCAACGATGCCATAAA